CTCCTCATCAGCCATGTCCTGGCCCTGTGGCCACCATCTGCCTGGCCCCCTTCTGTGTACAGTGCAGCCCCCTCCTTCTGCTCCCCAATGGCTCTGCTTGAAACAAACTTCACCACTCACAGGCAGCCCAGCGTTAAGGGTACTGTAATAATATGTCAAAACTAGATACTTGTTAATTGATACTTTCGGTTTCTCAATCTTTCGTATTAAGTCTTTCATCCTATAAAGATCCTGAAAAGATATCTTCTTTGCCCCATAGGTTGCTCAGGTGGGGCAAGAAAATTAGGCATCACTGTCTAAAAAGCTTATAACTCCATTTTTTTTTCTCGTAGTGTAAATACAGTGGGTATCCTTGCTATTTTCTCAGTATAAATGTACTTCTTGCTCGTTCCTCCAGAATAGATGACTTTCTCTGGACTACATTCAAATTAATTCTTGCCTATCTGTAGTTTTTGATGCTGTTTCCTGAGCTGCCCAGAGCTTCTGGTAATAGTGCTTATAATAGCATTGCTCACTGTTTTTTTCCCAGCATCAGAATATCATATTTGTAAACATTTTATTACTCTTATTGTCACATTCTGCTGTCTTTTTTTTTTTTTTCTACAGAACCTCTGAAAGAGCAAGCATGACACAATTCTTGGGGAAGTTGCTCACCCAAGGGAGCGCTACCTGAGCACAAACATGCATTTTGTCTTCCTGGGGGGCCTTGTCAAACTCTGCTGATACATCCAATATAGAAAAACACTTGTTGATATTAGCCTCCAAAATTTCACCCTTATCAGAAAGTAAGAAAATACTAAATTTCTTTTTATTTTCTATTCCAAAATACAGAATCTTTGCTTATCCAGTGCTTGTCGGCAATGATATCTCTGAAGTTTTTCAAATCCTTATGCGAAAAGCTTATACACTTCCTTCTCTGGGCTTTGTTCTCCAGTGAAGAATTTTCAGATGGGTATGTTCCTCCAGAACTTTACTGTTCTGGGTGGGTTGGTACATTCAGTCAGCAGCTCACTTCTTAATTTTACATTCTTGCTCTGATTACTGATTGAAGTCATATTCTACATGAAGTGCAGAACCCCCAAGATTACTGAATTCACAGCAGCAACTGACTTTGAATGATTATGAGAAACACACACTTTTCAACCAGTCACTTTCAAGTATAAGACTCCAGGTCTGCATGTAGGTTGAAGTTGTGTTCAAACTGCCTTATGCTGTCTTCTGCACTTACAGAAAGTTTCCATTCTGCATGCATTTTGGGTTTTTTTTTTGTTTTGTTTGTTTGTGTGTTTGGGGTTTTTTCCGGGGGGGGGGGGGGGGGTGTTTGTTTTGTTTTGGTGAGGGTTTTTGTAATATAAGGTAATCAGTGATCACTCTGTTTTAAGCGTGTGCAAGAAATTTGTTGCCCTCTGTCTCATTCCAGCTCGCTGAGGATAGCAACATTACACCCAGGCTGTCAGCTTGAAGCTCAGGTTCAGAGATCTCAAGTTCATACTCCCTGGCTAATCTCATTGCTCATACGTTGAGCTCAGACTTGGCTTCAATCTGGAATTGGAAACCAAGGGAAGGACTTGAATCTTGCTTCTGCAGACAGTTTAGATTGAATGATTTTAAGCCAAATGAAATTGCAAGCAACCCACATTCTGGCACAGTTTAATTAAGAAACTAAAGATGAAAAGATCCAGCACAAACTCTGTTTGAGAAACTCTGGCCTTTTAGGCATAATTCCCAGTAACAAACTGTGCAGCCCAGAGTCCAGGAACACGTGAATTTAAAGATGCCTACTGAGTTCTCACTGTTCTTAGCAGAAGAGTCTGTTTTCATAGGTGAAAGCTGACATAAATTAAAGTGATGTCATTAAATAATTGTACTGAATATGTCATTAGTTCAAGGTTAGACAAGCACAAAGGAAGTTGATGGTAAAGCATGGACAATAGAATTCAGTTCAATTGAACCAGACCCATAAAAAATGTTATCATAAATTTTACATCATACATGTTTCTTTAAAATTTATTCACTTATTCCTTCCTTAATACCTGAAAATTTTTCAACCTGTCCCAGTATGGTGAAACGTATATACTCTGTGTGTGTGTATATATATATATATGTGTGTGTGTGTGTGTGTTTGGAAACAACACTAAGAAAGTTCAAATGGATTTACCCCTCGAAGATGGACCAAGGCTTGAAAACTTTTTTTCCTAGCTTGCTGTGAAATCTTTCAACTCCACATGTTAGGAAACACTAATTTATATTCTTTTATATTGCTCAATCTCTCTACCCAGATAGCTCTGCAAGATGGGAACAGCAAGATTCATCAAGAGATGACCCATCCCAGCTCTCTGCCTAAAGGTAGGATTGATTAGTACTGTTTCTCCCATTTTTTATTATTGTTATCCCATTATTGTTATCTAATCCACACTGTAAGACTGCTAGCAACGCTAACTGAACAGACTTTTTCAACCAATCACTCATAATCCCAACCAATCATAATTCCCTCACTGTTGTTTGAAATTTTCTTCTTTAGTATCTAACCTGAAACTTTCTCTCAGAGTGTGGGACCATGAGTTATCCTACAGATATGGACTTCAGAGCATTCCTTCCTCATTGTAAAAGCCTTTTATTATATCATGCTCCTTCACAAAATCATGTAGATTACATTAAATAACTTTTAGTACTACTTCCATTTTTCTAAAACTCTCTTGTTGCTCTCCCTTCCAGATACCCTTCAGCTAGGATATACTTCTTGAAATGCAACACAACTAAATGTAGGTATGGAAGAACTAATGAACTTCAATCTTTAACACTATATTAACAGTGTTAGTGTGGTGTCCTCCTGTTATACACTGTGTTTATGGTTATGTAGCTACCCAATTTGTAGTTTTACATCAGGACTGAAGTGTGGATAAATACTACAGGTAAGTAAATAAGGGATTTTTAGGAGGTTTTTGAATCATATAGAACTTTGGAGTTAGATCAAGTAAGAACATGACAATGACATTACTAGATCAACCAATTATGAACTTGAATTAAGACTACAGGATAATTTTGTTGGTTTATTTGTGCTGATTCTAAGAAGTGCAGTTCTAATTTTGTGTTTACCTGCTTTCATTCTACTAATATCTAAGTACATAGAATATTTTGGGTTGGAAGGGACCCAGTCCAACTCTCCTGCCGTAAGCAAAGATGTCTTCAAACAAATCCAGTTGCTCAGAGTCCCGTCCAACCTGACCCTGAATGTTTCCAAGGATGGGTCATCAACCACCTCTCTGGGCAACATGTTCCAGTGTTCCAAGACCCTCATTATAAAAAATTTTTTCCTCATACCTATTCTAAATCTACCCTCTTTTAGTTTAAAACCATTATCCCTTGTCCTCTTACTACAGGCCATGCTAAAATGTTTGTCCCCACTTTTCTTATGGGCCCCCATTGAATACAGGAAGGCTACTATAAGATCTACCCAGAGCCTTCTCTTCTCTTGACTCTCTGTCATTCCTCACTGGAGGGTGCTCCATTCCTCTCATTATTTTTCTGGCCCTCCAACAGGCCCATGTCTTTCCTGTTCCGGGGGCCCAGAGGTAGACACAGCACTCCAGGTGGGGTCTCACAAGAGCAGAGTGGAGGGGTAGATTCACCTCCCTTGACCTGCTGGATACGCTGCTTTTGATGCAGCCCAGGATATGGTTGTTTTTCTGGGCTGCAAGTGCACATTGCTAGCTCATGTCCAGCCTCTCATTTACCCCCAAGACCTTCTCGGCAGGGCTGCTCTCAATCTGTTCATCCCCAAGCTTGTTTTGATACTGGGGGTGCCCTGAATGAATATAAATTACATATAATATATGTAATAATCATTCATCAACCCAGTCATCTCATATCACTGCTTGGTATAACAAAGTGGGGAGCTCATCTACTTAACTGAAAACCCCTATCAATATTAAATTTATCAAAAAGTAAAAAAAAAAATGATATGAGATTAAAGGATATTTTGGAAATACTTTATCTGTAGCCTTTATGAGCCAACTCTTCTCCTCAACTTTCCCATAAGAAAAATGCTGATACTGATGACTTTTTCTCTTCTGGAAACTCTTACTGAAGAGAACCCTACAGCATTCATCCATGTGTTATATTGATGATGAAACAGTTACATATCCAGTACAGTCTCCTCTCTGAGATTATACACAAAAACCCTTATCTGTTTAAAGACAGCAGAGATTAGTGCATAGATAAATTCTACCTTGTAAAACCTTTACTGTCCAATAAAAGACAGCTAGAAAAAGTATACTGTGGAATCTCTTTAACACAGTGAATAAAAGTAGATAGGAGGCATAAAGCTGTTCCAATTGTAAAGAAGGGAGAAGCAGTAGTTTTTCAACAACAATTAATGCTATAATAACTGATAAGCTATGGATAAGAGGGGAAATCAAGCAGAATCCAGGAACGTATTGTTAAATTCATTGCAGCCCTCTCATTTTACAAAGGCATTGCTTGATGTCTGTGGTGGGAAGGAAATGAGAACACTATCTCTTTTTGTCTGTGGCTCTAAACCACTAAAGGTTTTATACAGAGGAACGTGAATTTACGTAGGGTCCATTTTCACAGTTCCCAGATGAGAAACAATGATGACCTTAGGGAGCCAGCAGTGTTCCCTTAGTAGTCTCTATATTAGGTATTTGAAATACATTGAAAATTAAAATGATAAGATTACTTCCCACTTAAGAAAACATGTTGATTGTTTAAAAATATGAGCAAAATTAAAGATGAATTTAAGAAAATCACTTATGGCACAAAAAGCACATTAGCACTGCCCACATCATCATTTATAGAGAAAGGTGGTTATTTTGGCTGAGATGACAAATTACCCTTCCACAGCAGAAGGAAAAAATAGTTTACAGTTCAAGCTGTAAAGTTATTAAACGAGATCTGACTGTACTAAGAAATGCACAATATATTAGAAAAGTCAATTTCTTAAATTAAATGGCAAATCAGCAAGTGGATGAAGGACTGACCTTGGATCGGGGTGGCGCTCGGATGTACCATTTACAGTCTACTGCTTCAGTTTCAGAAGCTTTTCCTTCTTTGACAATTTGTACAGATTCCACAATTCCTTCAGGTCCTCCCATCTCAAACTCACAAACTGAATAACAAAACACCAGAAAAAATGAAACCTGAACAGCAAACAAAAATATTTTCTACAGAAGAGTATAAAGGCCTCCAAGTTAGGAAAAAACCCAAAACCAACATACCAACCTGGCAATGGTTTCAAAACGCCAAGGTCCTTAAAATCTGGATCTTAAAAATAGAGAAAAATAAAATAAGTTTTGTTCAGTATCTAGGCTTTAATGTCAATGTGCTAAAATTTGATAATGTGCTTCAGTGACATAATTATACATATACTTCTTGAAAATGAGAAATGTTTCAAAACTATGGCAACACACTAATTATTAATGCAGAAATTATTGATACTATCATACCAAGTTATTTTTTTCTGTTATGAAATCCTGCTTTTCTCTGTCTCTCTCTTTCAGAAGAATAAGTTCAAAAATATTTCTGCATACATTAGCAAGTGAGAACATCATACAGCTAACCACGTGATATTTTAATACATCAGCCTAATGAAAGAGGATATATTTACAGACCCATTCAGAATCTTTTTGCCTGTTTTGCATTTTACAGTGTAACACTCAACTTAACTAGAGAAATCTAAACTTCATTCTGTCGTTTTGAATAGTCTGCCATCCCCACTGACCAAGAGGAGACATTTCTTTGTGAGAAGCATCCATTTGGCCTTACTGGGAAAAAATATCATGAGGATTTACAGTGGAATTCATTGTGTTAACAAGGTAATAAGTCTAATACGTGTGCTATTTTCCATCAGATAAACATGATTATATTTGCTGTCTGATAGGATTTGTATCACACATTTGTAGCCAAGTGTAGTAAATAGAAGAAATGAGTTTGGTCTTAGACCTACGGTTCAATAAACAACAATCCACAGACAAATTATCATTTCACAATATTTGGCCCAGTTTGAAGATACTGTCCGAAATCAGAAATGTGAGAGACTAAAGCATTTCAAGATATGTTTTCTTAGAATAAACTGATCTTGTCTGGGAAATTTTTATCATTTGCTTTTCCACCTAAAAAAATGTTTTGCACTGTTTTTCTCATTTACACATGTAAATGAGCTGTTCTTGTTTCCGAATGGGGTCAATGAAGAAGGAACTATTAACAAAACAATGAAGAGAAAGCTTGGAAGTAGGAGATGTATCAAATGAAAAAAACCAAACCCACAACCAATCCACCACCAAAACTCCTGTTTCCCTCTAGCCTTAGTCTATCCAGGATAGCAAGAATCATAACCAAATAATATAATGAAAAAATCTAGTGTTCGTAAGCAAGATCGGCCACTTTAATCTCAATGGTCAAAATGTATTGACTTCAAAAACTGGAGTTGTAAAATCACTTTTTAAATTATTCCTCTGTAACCAGGCTGCTGTTGTTCTTCCCATTTATCTTTTACAGTTGCAAAATATAAATCATGAGTAAATACTCATGACCTTCTGGAACCACAAATATAACTGAGTAGGCAATTAGCATTAATTGTTAAGCAGTTTTATAGATCAGTAGATATATATGATAATCAACAACCATAAATGTAATCAAATATTTCAGTTAATGTACTTGGATGTTGATAACTAATGCTGAAACAAAATACTTTGAATTCTGGTTCAAATTAACATCCCAACTGTATCCCATGTAACCATTGTATTTCTTCCTTTAACTAAGTTTGCAAGGATCACTCCGATCCACTGAAAACACTCCACCACATTAGCAAAGTACAAAGGAGGAAGAAGGAGAAAAAGGTCCTGCCAGGATCTTCCCCATATGAAGGAGTTTTCACATAAAGCAGTGCCAGTAGCAGGAATCCAGGCTGAAGTGTAATCTAGACCATGCAATTTGCTGCACAAAACAATTCTTAAAGTATGTTCTTGTGTAACAATACAGTAACATTGGTAACAGTGCACACAGAAATGCACAATCTGTTAACATTCTAGAAATATGGTAGGTCTTCCTCAGCCTTGAAAAATAATCTTTTTGCAATTTTTCAGCATTTCAAGTGTGAAAGTGAAATAAAATCTACGACACCTGAGGTGATATACTTCATTACCATTGCTGGTATACCAATACTATTATAATAAAAACAAAATCTGTAAATAAGGTATTATCAGAGATGCTTAAAAGTCAACCACGTTTAAGCATATTTGCCCAGTAAATATTTGCTTTTTAAATAGTCTACCATTAAATAGATTAGTCTTTAGCAGCTCTTCTGTATGTAATTCAATCAAATTGTTATTCTCAGTCTGGCTGAGTCAGAACTCTTTTAATGATATCTAAACACTGAGTGGCTAGATCTTCCAACAGAGATGAAAATCATGTTCCCATAAGGAAAAATTCCCCAAGCAGGAAAACTCTGAAAAAGAGTGAAAAAGAAGATGGATCACCAATAAGGAGAGAGAAAAGTAGGATGCAATAGACTTTAAGGGCAATGAAATATATGCAAATATTTTTATGAGGATCTCCTTAATAGCAAAATGAAGTATGTAAAGAGAAAAACAAGAATGTTCATAAAAATTTTGAAAATATGTAAAGGTTATGTAAATGGAAGACATTACATCCAGAAGAAGTTCTGTGACTCTTTCCTGAAGCATTGAAAGTCTCTTTTAAAACAAAGTAACTCAATAAAATAAAGGTTATTTCCTCCAGTGATATATTACGACCCACTCTACAATAACAGATTGCTGCAATGTTTATTTATTATAAGCTTTACTGTAAAACATTTGAAACTTTTTATGAGATGTAAAAAACTGTACCAGGTTATTTAGAGTTGCTGGAAAACAAAGAGAATGTGAAACTTTGGAGTGGCCTAGGGTGAAAATGATAGTAATCTGTAATTTCCTTAACTAGTAAAAAAAATGTAGTGAATTAGCAGACAGTGAGATGGACCATGCCTGTGATAGTATTGATCATCTTAGCATGAAGTCAAGTTGGAGGCCAGTGGTGCATCAAAGGGGTCAATACTGGGAAAAATCCAGTTTAATATCTTCATTAACAACCTGGATGATGAGACAGAATGTACCCTCAGCAAGTTTACTGATGACACAAAACTGTGAGGGATGGCTGATACATCAGAGGATAGTGCTGCCATCCAGAGGGACCTCAAGAAGCTGGAGAATCAGACTGACAGGAGCCTCATACAGTTCAACAAGGGGAAGTGTCAAGTCTTGCACCTGGGAAGGAGCAACCCCATACACCAGAAAGTGCTGAGACCATCCAGCTGTAAAGCATCATTACATAAAAGGACCTGGGGGTCCTGGCAGACACCACATTAAATACAATCCAATAATATATCCATGGAGTAAATAAGGCCACCAGTATCCTGGGTTGCACTAGGAGGAGTGCTGCCAACCAGGCCAAGAGAACTGATCCTTCCCCTCTACTTGGCACTGATAAAGCAACATCTGGAGCACTGTGACCAGTTCTGGGTTCCCCAGAACAAAAGCAATATGGAGCTGCTGGGATCCAGCAAAGGGTTATGAATCTGTTTAAAGGGTCAAAGCATCTCTCATATGAGGAAAGGCTGATAGAAGTGGGACTGGTCAGCCTGGAGAAGAGTAGGGTCAGAGGTGATATTACAAATCTGTACATAAACCTGAGGGGAGGGTGTAAAGAGAAGGGAGTCAGGCTCTTTTCAGTGGTATCCAGTGACAGAACAAGTGGCAATGAGTACATACTGAATCACAGGAGGTTCCATCTGAACATCAGGAAACACTTTTCCTCTGTGAGGGTGACTGAGCACCAGCACAGGTGGCTCAGAGAGGTTATGGAGTCTATATCCTTGGAGATATTCAGTAGCTGTCTAGACACCGTCCTAAGCAAGTGGATCTAGGTGACTCTGCTTGAAAAGGGGGTTGGACAAAATGAGCTATAGAGGTGCCTTCTGATACCAGCCATTTTGTGATCCTCTGATTTTGTAATAACTAAACATCGGAACTGGATAATAGTAGACTAACCAGTCAAAAGACTAGACTTATTATTTAAGGTATAAGCAGAGGTTAGATAAATTTTTATCACAGTGCAGACTAATTCTTGTGGAATTTGTTTTTAGGCATGGGTACATATATACCCCACCTGGAGAAAACTGAAATATTTAAGACTGGTTTCAAAAAGATCCACTAGGTCTTCATGGGAGACTCTGAATATTTTGGATGTTGGCTTTGGAATCTATTCCATATCTGGCCCATGGAAATCATGCTACATTTCTTTATTTTTCCTTTCACTGCTACTATCCAACAAGTCTGGCCTTTCTAAGCAGCTGGCAAACATGAAATTTAAATGAGAAAACAGAACGTCAGTTGTAGGGAGTTAGAGCACCTGATTGCTCAAAAATCTTATGAAGTAAAGAAAATTGTAAAGTAAAAAGGGATTGTATATTAACTGGATTAAGTCTTCAAAAAGTATGTAGATGCTGTTGTTTACAAGTACACCCCATCATCTTATGTTATTGCTGAGCTGTGGTATATTTACACAGAGACATGTTTATGCACCTATGCATGCATGTATGCACGTAATCCCTTGCTCTGTGTCACTTGCACAGAAAGTGGAATGGTTTCAAATTCTATTACTTGAATAATTTCTATAAGAGACAGGGAAAAGGCATAAAGTTCAAACTAATTGCTAGCAACAAGGTGTGCTGCTGGTAATTATTATCACAAATCAATTATAAAAGATCACATTTTGAGTAAAAAATCCACAGTTAGAAAAACCATTCAGCTTGTCTTGAAAGACAGATTGCACAAGGCTTCTAAAAGCAATGCTATATTACAGAAAAATTAGAGTATTTTCTTTCTTATAAATGCTCAAAAATGTAAGTACACATCTGGCATTTTATTACTCTAATTCTTTAGCTTTTCATATAAAAAGTTCATTTTGGCACTTTCTTACCCTGTCAACATCAAATCTGCTGCTCTCACTGATAAAAATTAATAGTTATCTCACTCTTGGAAGTCAAAATATTTAAGTCAATGTTTTAATATCTCTTATAATAAATGGAAGACTGAGTTAGTGTGGAGCATATCTGGACTGCAATATACTTAATTACACATTTTTTTTAATTTTGAAGTACAGTATATACTGTGAAGAACATAAGCAATTGCTGCATGGTTAAAAGTCAATATGAAGGAAATATGTACCACAAAATCCAGGTGTTGATTAATTTTTGAGGTATTTTG